CCGGCATCATTCGCTGATACATTACTTGTACACGAGACATATTTTCGTATTCAAAGTTGGATGAAAAGAAAAAGATGTTTATCAGATATATTTTCACTTTATCTGCATATTTTATTTCACATTTTCCAACATCAGAAAAAACCCCGGAGTTGACCGATAATCCTGGAATTCGATTTCAACGGATTTTCTGCGACTCGAGATTTCAAAAAATTTCAATAATTGATTGATGCCAGTATGAACCAAAAAAAATTATCAACGCGATCGATTTAGTTGAAAATAGGAATAGGGGAGGGTGGGGCAAAACGGCCCCCCTCCAATTGTCAATAATTTGTGAATGACATTGTGAAAATTCCCAGTTTCAACTTTATTTTGAAGATAATTTTTCATTCTTCAAAACGAGCTCTAACTCATCCCAATCGGATTATTGAATCGGAAAATATTGACGATTCAAGGGAGGCCGTTTTGCCCCATCCTCCCCTACAAATTTTTCTAAATTTTTCACTCACAGAATTTTCATGTGAGAATAAAAATCGAAGCGTGCCTAAAAAGTTACTTTTTCGCACAGCGTAATAAAATAGTATATTTCGATACGAGTGAGACAGAATTTTCACGAGTGTGAAGTTGGCAGCCCTCGGCTTCGCCTCGGGCTGCCAATCACACTCGTGGAAATTCCTGTCTCACATGTGTCGAACAATATTTTTTGACAGTGATGTTACGTTCAGCGAGTGGCGAACTGTGCCTTTTTTCGTTTACTAGTAAACGAAAAGACTCTTCGTTTACGAGTAAACGAAAAGACACTTTTCGACACGAGGTGAACGTAGCAGCAGTGTCAAAATAGTATATTTCGTAACGAGTGCAAAAAAGTATTTTTTGGCGTGTGGGAGGTTTATATCACGAGCTGAAGGCGAGTGATATAATCCCACGAGCTAAAAAACATTTTTTCACGAGTTACGAACAATATTTTTCATCACAATGTGGCGGAAATTGGACTTTTAGGCACGCNATCGGATTATTGAATCGGAAAATATTGACGATTCAAGGGAGGCCGTTTTGCCCCATCCTCCCCTACAAATTTTTCTAAATTTTTCACTCACAGAATTTTCATGTGAGAATAAAAATCGAAGCGTGCCTAAAAAGTTACTTTTTCGCACAGCGTAATAAAATAGTATATTTCGATACGAGTGAGACAGAATTTTCACGAGTGTGAAGTTGGCAGCCCTCGGCTTCGCCTCGGGCTGCCAATCACACTCGTGGAAATTCCTGTCTCACATGTGTCGAACAATATTTTTTGACAGTGATGTTACGTTCAGCGAGTGGCGAACTGTGCCTTTTTTCGTTTACTAGTAAACGAAAAGACT